GTTTGTCTAAGTCGAAGTCTAAAAGGCAACAGACAATAGACAGTGCAGTCACTCCGCACTCAGACAGCTAGAGCTACTATCAGTCCAGTAGTGGCTTGTACCATGAAAAATGAACTGACAAGATTTGATACAATATAAATTCTAAACCAATTCTTCAACACTTCCCAGTCCGAGGCTCTTACAAATTGTGTCCAGTCCTGCAAATGGTATGCTATGGTTTGCTTTTGATTTATACTGGGGCAGTGCACAACAATACGTTAACCAAGACAAAAGTCATAGGAAAGATGCTGGTGCCAGGTTAGACTTAAACTTAAACAGACTTTATTGATGCACAAGGGAAATTACTTAGACATAGTAGCTCACACACCACAATATATTACAATAAAAAAAGTTATATAAATGTATGTACAGTAAGTAAAAAACAAATATCATAACAAATACAGTATATCACCGTTATATACAAGAGGCTGTAAGGAAACAGTGCAAAGATGATAAGATGAGTGACAGAAACACAGGCTTTCATAAAGGTGAGTTGTTGTACATCTGTATGGAGTGTGGTATGAATGTAGTCCTGTATCTCTCACTGTTTGAGTGGAGATTAGCTCCTCTATCCCTCTGTAGTCTGGTGCAGTGGGTGAGCAGGTATGTGCATGATGGAGAGCTTGTGTTTGTCTAGTGTTCCCCTGTCCCTCACTGTGACAGACCACAGCAAAGCTCAGGGTGCTGGCCACCATGGATAGGTAGAAGATTGCCAGTAACTTTTTGCACACCTTGAAAAACCTGAGCTTTCTCAGGGAGTAGAATCTCCTCATACCCTTCTTATACACAGCATTACAGTTGTTCCTCAAGTCCAGCCTGCTGCTCCCATGGACTCCAAGGTACTTGTAGCAGTCCACTATTTCCATGTCATGGCTTTGGATGGTGTCGGGCTCTACTGGTGTCCTCTTTCTCCTGAAGTCAGTCACCAGTTCCGTGGTCTTGCCGATGTTCAGGAGCAATTGGTTTGGGATCTGGGACCACACCACAAAATTTGCAATCAGTATCCTATACTCCAGCTCCTGTCCATCTCTGATACACTCTACAACTGCAGAGTGATCAGAGAACTTGTGCAGGTGGCAGGACCCGGAGCTGTGCTGGAAATCAGAGGTGTACAGAGTGAACAGAAACAGAGACAAGACAGTACCCTGGGGAGCTCCTACATTACTGACCACAGGATCAGACATTGTGCTTCCCATTTGCACTTAGTGAGGCCTGTCTGACAATCAGTAATCCAGACAATTATTATAGCATGAATACTAATTTACACCTGTAGTCCCTGAGCAGGCTGGTGGAAATTCTGAAACTACAGATTCAATGTAAATAGAAAAATTGACCACAAATAAATTAAACACATATTACCTGGGGTCACATTGTTCAAATTGTATTGCAAAAACAACAAACACCTAAGCACATGCACTCTTACCCACTCCCCTTAGCCCCTCCCACCCTCCATCATATGCACACACACACACACCCCCTCCATCATATGCACATATACACAGATTGTACTTTCTATGTATGGATTAATCTCATTTTTTTCCAGTTGCTTATCTGTTATAGACCGTTTTCACTTCTTTCAATTCTTTTCACTCCTTCTCAAAATATATTTTTTGTTGTGAGCAGTCATACCAGGCATGTCAGTAGTAAATTGTCTTCTGCTTCAGATTCCACTCATTGTTGCTGGAGTTTCCTGGAGTGAGAGACTGCTGTGCTCCCACAGAGCAGGCCACAGAAGAGACAGGACCCTGCTGCAGCTGTGGAGCCTTGATCTTGTTTTCAAATCCTATGTAGCCTCAGGATTAGCCTATTGTACTTTGGGTACACTCAAAAATGCATGTGGAGAACATGCAGACTCCTATAGTAATGCCCTGAGAGGATGTGTGCATGAGAAAGCCTTGATAAGTGTGGTTAGCACTGAGGACTGTCACACACCTAAGGGCACCATATGGTTACTCAAAGAACAGAGGCCACTGGGAATCTGAATTGTAATCCTGAGAGATCGTGATGCAGCACTGATATTTTGATTTGACATCACACTGTGGATGTTCTACATGGTTCTCTGTGGTGGAATGTGTTACACAACGGACACATTAGAAAACACTGTCAAAAAAGTCTTAAGATAAATTGAAATCTTAAGAAAAGATACTAAATGGATTTAAACAACACACTTTCAGGAGCCTGTGATCAATAAGAGCGCTCATAATCCTGTTTAGGTTTCGATTTTCAATAAAAAGGTGAGAGTGACAAACTGAAAAACTGTTGGCTAATGTGAGCTATTTTATGGCTGTAATGTTATTTCAGAAGGAGTTATTTAACAGTACAAATCAATTCAGCTCTTTATGGTGAGATTGTGTTAAAAGCTCAGATTAAAGTCTAGCAAGTCGCAGACAAAGCAATGCCTACAGTTAGGGAATGTTGATGACACGAGCTGCAAAGTATCAATAGACCTTGGGATTGTGTCGGCACATCTCATAGATTTTTCAGTTAGTCTAATGTTAAACCAATTTATATTTTGAGATACTAAACTAAAGCATTAAGGCTGCATGATTTTGGGGGAAAATGTTTTCAAAGTATGATTCTGTTCAAAGTGCAGATAGTCAACAACTCTAGAAGCAATGACATTTTGAGAAGAGTGACATATGAACTGATGCTCTGAACTGATCCAAGAATCCAGTGCTTTTCTAAACATGTTTGTAGAAGTCAAGCAAGAGTTTTTTATTAAAAGACAGAATGTTTTGTACTTTGAGGAGAATATTCTTCAATCCAAACAATTGCAGCTAGGGGTGTGCAGAAATATTCAAATTTTGATATATGGTATCGTATAATGTGATGATACAGGATTGATATCACGTGCTGCTTTATCGATGTATCACCAAGAGAACTTTTTTGAATATTTTACTAAATTATTTTGTTACAGCGCTACAGTTTTGCTGCTTGATTAGTGGAAGGAAGCTCATTTATGCAGCACATTTGACATTTTCACTGTTTTGGTGATTAAAATGGGTGTGTTTCATATGAACTTTGCACAAGAAGTGGTTTAACAAAGACTTTTAGTATCAGAAATAATGATTTAGCCTTTATTTTTTATTCATGCTTTACTGTGGCACTGCTGAAGCTCTGTTACTCAAGTTAGACTTCAATCTGAGCCTTGTTTTAACACCATCTGACCAGAAAGAAATTATTTAGTTGGAACAACAACAGGTGAGCTGATTTGTGCGCTTAAACAAGTCTCTCACGCATAAAATTACAGTCACAAGCTAGAAAGCATTAGCCAACTTTCTCTCTCAACCTTTTGTTGAAAATCAAACACCTAAACAGGACCATGAAAATATGTTGTTTGAATCCATTTTTTAATCAAATTCAGATAATCTAAAATATTTTGATAGTGTGCTTATGTGTGCATTGTGTCACCATGGTAACTGCTGAACGTTCCTCCATAGAAAATCCATGTAGAACCTCCCAGCTTAATGTACATTGCAAATATCAATAATGTGATAAATGTATTTACCAGTAGTGACTCAGCATCGGGTTGCGCCTTAACTATTTAGTTTACTTTTTAACAGTGTTTCTGTCAATGCACCTCTATGGACATTTGCTGCTTCTGGCCTGTTACATAAGGTTTTTGAAGTTCGATCCCAAGCTCTATCCTCCAGCTAGGCGCTCTTGAGCAGGGATAGTCTGATAAAGTTTTATTTGAACACTTTAGTGCTCTTTTGTGAACTGCACAAATGTGACTACACTCCCCTTACTGATTTAGAAGCTTTTTTTTTTCTTCAGTCATTAACTTAATACCACTTGCACTTAATAGCACTTATTAGCATACAAACAGTTCTAATAAAATTATAACTGAAGGAGTTTAGTGAAACCACAGACTAGTGTTTAATCCTGTTAATCTATCCTATCCTGTTATCGTATTAATTTGAAGTAATGTCAAAAATATCATTGCCATAGTGTTTTTTTTTTTTTTTTTCATTAAATCAGTGCAATTTATAGACACTTGTATTGAGTTTTTAATAATTTCAAATCATATACACTACCAGTCAAAAGTTTGGACATATCTTCTGAGTCAGTGTTTTTTTTTTTTTTTTTCATTTTGTTTACTACTTTTTACATATTAAATATATAAAACAAAAAAATATGAAGCAAGATTCTGTATAAGGAATTATGTAGTAAAGAAAAAAAAGTGGAACAAGTCATCTTTTACCTTGTTGACAGCAATGCAAACCATTGGTCTTCTCTCAGTGAGCTTTTTGATGAAAGAGGGACTGTTTTTAAGCTTTTTTAAATATAAATGTTTTTTTAAGTTGATTTTTTTGGGTTCATTCATAGTTTTGATGCCTTCACTGAGTATCTACAATGTAAATAATCAAATAAAAGAAGAAATAGATCAAAAAGTCTGTCCAAACTTTTGACTTTTAGTGTATTTTGTGTAAAGAAACCAACAGTTCTACATATCACACCAAAATATTGACTGCTCTTGATTCCTAACACCATATTGGCCTTAAAAAAACATATATTGGTTGACCTCTCGTCAAATGCAGAGGACAAATCTCCCTCCCGAGTTAAACGTTTTCCCATTTGCTTTATGACCTCACGGGTAATCAGAGGTCAGCTTTTCTTCTTTTAAATCGTCATAATACCTGTCAAGATTCACTGAAATGGCAGCATAAACTTAAAGGATTAACCTTGTCCGGGACTCACTGTAGGTCAGACCCTCAATTAAAGCCCCTCTTTCCCCCATTGTTTTTACTATCTCTTGAGGGGGCTGTCTCCTCTCCTCTATCACTGCTCTGTGTCTTTTTACCATATACCTTTATACTATTTGACCCAGGTGTCTCACTTAGTTTTGGGCTCCTCCTCTGCTTTCCCCTCATGTGCCCTTCTAATACTTGATGCTAGCTCTTTTCATTTGTCCTCTTCTTAAAGCGCGCCCTTTTCGCTGTCTCTCTCTCTCTCTGCAGGTGGTGGAAATAGCTTTAAAGGTTAGCCCAGCGCTGGCACCCCACATGTTCCACCCGTTGCTACCAGCTGTCTTCAGAGGCATTCTGGATGGAGAGGTGAGTTTTGCTTTTCTTCCCCTGAACTCAACTCTAAAAAAAAATCTTAAACGTGGCAGGCATAAGCTGTCGTATCTTGACTTGGAGGTGTTATGAGGACTTCACGCGTGTTCAAGCAGACTAAAAGATGGTTTTGACGATTCCCTAATTTCTACTTGAAGGTGCGCTGTGTAACTTTTCTGGTAGAGGGTCCGTCACCAGCATCTCTATGTGGAGATGCTGCCTGAAGTGTCCCACAGTATGATATTACACGTATTTATCTCCACAGAAATAACAGGTGACGCCATAGGGTCAAGTTACATGTCAGATCTGTGGTGAGGCAAGCCCACTGACAATAAAAATGCAAGTTTTTAAATCAATAAAAGCCCATGTTATTGAATAAATGCAAGATGGATACATTTAATGCCAATGTCTAGCACGTGGCTGCACCCTCCACCAGAAAAGTTACACAGTGCGCCTTTAAATTGGTGGAATAATACCTGTTGTAAGTATAAATGATAGTTTTATATCAATCAAGAGGCAGGAAGTAGAGTTTTATTTTAGAAGGGAAACACACTATCCAAATGTTTACACACAATTTACAAAACAAACACTTTTTTTCTGATACTTAAAACATTATTTCAAATCTGTGAAATTCTTAAATATAATGATCTTAGTTGTGTTTAAGTCAAATTAGGAGTCTAACTTGTCATAGGCACTTTATATACTTATATATTTGGATTTGTCTTTTCTGTCTCATAATATTCTCTTCTTATGCACAGTGGTGACTCGTATTGATCGGCCATGTTTGGGAAAAGGTTATATTGTGACTCCAGATACGCTCTTTGTCAGGGAGCATTTTTCTTTAGTTGCTGGAGGTTTATAAAGTATTGTTCACTTGCTGTGGGGCATACCAAAAGGCAACTAAGCCATTCAAACCATTCCATCTATACAGTTTTAAAGGAAATGTATCTACCCCCCCCAGCGTCTGAGTTGTGTAGGTTCTGAGCATTCGCATGAGCTCGGTGTTGCTTGTTCATACACTGAGAAAAGTGTGTATGTGTGCTCTATCTGCAGGTTAAGGCCTTGGCAACTCTGGTTCAGTTGTGATTGTTTTATCTTTTATGAATGAAACCTTAAGAGTAAATAAAATGTTAAAGTTGTATTGTGTAATTTTTAATTTTTAATTTTGGAGAGTCTGTCAAATGCTTTTCTCCACAGAGATATTATTGCTTTGTCTGGAAGGTTTCATAGTATAGTTATAAACCTTTCTATCTTCACGGAGACGTAAACATGCCAAGTTACAGGTCAGATCTGTGGAGAGGCAACACTGCTCACAGTCAGAATGCTTGTTTTTCTAGGTATTTTTGAGCTGTGAAACCATCTGCAATTGAATAAATGTATGGGAGAGCTGTTTAATGTCAGCAGCATATCCATAGAAGCAAGCAGGTGATGGACCCTCTACAAGAAAAGTTACACATTGCACCTTTAAGAATTTCCAGTTTCATTCCATTGACATGAAGGGAAGAAAACGTTCATTTAGGGAACTTTCAAATTATACAAACACAAGCATAATTAAGCATACTTACTATGCATAGTTCCCATGGCATCCATTACAGATACACTGATATATTGCACTACCAAGCAGTACTTGCTAAAAGCCCTACTTTGTATTCAAAATAGTTGGCTCAAACAAATCTTACATTGCTTAAACTGAAAGTAATAAAAAATGCAGTTGCTGTGTGGTATTACAGCTGTGTACATTTGTGTTGCAGAGATACCCCGTGGTGATGGCAACTTACCTGGGTATTATCGGGCGCGTGCTGTTACAGAATTCCAGTTTCTTCTCCTCGTTCCTCACACAGATGGCCTCTGAGAGCAGCCAAGAGGTGAATCTGCATGTGCCCTTCTCTTGTGCCAACTCAGCACCATCACAATGTCTTTATACCCCCCGGAAACCATAACCCAAACTGCCTGTTAAAACGAATTACACAGAACAAGGCTAAAAGTAATGACCCAAAGAATTGATAATTGTAACTTTTTCAGTCCATGGCCAACTCACATCAAAAAGAATGTCTGTTTTTGTCAGGCCTAGGGTAGAATTAGTTTGGCCTTTTGTTATAGTTTTCATTATTAAAACACTGAGAAATTAAATTTTGACTGTGTTACCGTAAGTACACAGGCCCAATTCTTTACAGTGAAGGTCAGTTTGTCACATCCCAGATATAAAGTTTGGTTTTCAATGTCAGGGCTAATCACAGCTCATCCTCCTGTTGCCGTGTGCAGAGGTGAGTGGAGTAGTCAAATACTGTACTCAAGTTAGAGTAACATTATATTTCAAAACAATATTACACAGTGCAACGTAGTTGTGAAATTAATAACAAAAAGTATTTGGGGAAACTACTAATCAAGTCATAACATTCGATTTTCAATTTGAAATTAATGTAAATTGAAGAACAAATAATAAACATAATCTAGTATTTTCAAAGGACAGACCATAAAAATAACAGTAATGTACCTTTTAATTAATTATTTAATTATTTATTTATATGCATATGCATTTATATAGTGCTTTTTAATACATCCAAAGCTCTTTACAGTGCCCTTGTAGCCACAGCTGCCCTGGGGCAGACTGAAGGAATTGAGGCTGCCAGTCTGTGGCAGTCCCCTACCACCACTCACACGCTCATACCACATACATATTAGTGTGGCTGAAGTGCCTTGCCTAGGGCCACAACAACATTTTTTTGTCACTGGTGCCCCACTGTAGCACCTGGAATTCCCAGCAGTCTCCATTGCAAGAACTGACCAGGCTCAGCCGTGCTTAGCTTCTGACATCTGCTGAGATCAGGCTTTGACAAGCCGGTATGGCTCTCTGTACAGTATATATGGCTAAATTAGAATAGTTTTTGTGGATCATTCTACCTTATGGTTTGGTTTCAGTATTATTGTTTATGGTCTATATTTACTTCAGCAATATATCACATTCAGAATGAGTTATCGTGACAGGTCTCTTAGTGAGTATATGAAACTGAGTACTAACCAGCTTGTGTTGTGTCTCAGATGGAGCAGTTACTGGGCAGTCTGATCGAGATGTGGGTGGACCGCATGGACAGCATCACTCAGCCTGAGCGCAGGAAGCTGTCCTCACTGGCCCTGCTCTCCCTTCTGCCGTCTGACAACGGGTGAGACCCCCATCACTCATTTATGTGCGCTGTTATGCAGAGAGGCTGAGCAGTGGAGAGCTCACACTTGTCTGCGTGACTGAAAAGAGGCTTCACCAAGAGGAAAGTAACAAGTCAAATCTGACAAAACTGTTGAATTATTCATCCCACCACTGTTGATCCTTTTAGGCTTCTGCGTGTGGAACAGAGCTGTCTGTGATTTTTACTAGATTGGTACTAAAGACGGGCTTCCAACTGCCACAAGTTTTTAATTTCACTGAAGTTGTTTTCGTCAAGTAGTGGAAAAAAAACCCAAAACATGAAAGTGAAAGGCCTGTTTGAACACACCATATAAAGAATTCATGAAGTATCAAAACAGATTTGAGCAAGATAGTCGAGAGGTTTAAACAGCAGCTCATAGGACTCAAAATTACTCAAAATGTTGTGAGTTCGATTCCAGCTTTGGGAATTTGGTGATTTTTACTGTCTTATGAACAGTTTGCAGAGGTTTAAAATAGAACCGATATATCGGCTGGCCGATATTATCCCAAAATTTATATCGCTGATATGCTGCTGATTGGGCCGATATTTCACGTGGGCATGTTATACCTCGTTATAAAGCTTAGACTCTCATTTAATCCAATTTACAGACAGATAAATGTCCTAATATGTGGCTCCGCAAGTATTTATCTGCGGAGTCATTTGTCTGTGTCCGTACTGTCCCTGAACTGAGTGACGTCACTTCACTCGCGTGTTTGTTTACACCAGCAGCCGTGCGCAACACTGAGATTATTTTCTTTTTCGGACAATCGGTTTGAGTCTGGATTAAAAGGACATTTATTAGTGCAGACTTGTGATGTGAGGAGGAGCCTGTGTGAGCGGTGAGTGTTGGAAATACATCGACTTTGAAGCTAGTTTAGGTTTTGTTAGCGATTAGCTGCTGTAGCTCCCGCACATAAACAGCGCTGTTTTTCTATTGGTCATTGTAAAGTGACTACATTGGCCGTTATTTTGTTACTGAACCTGCATTGATATGTAAATGAGCTGTGAATAGACTGTGAATGATCCACATTTATGCATATAATTAACTACCGCGGTGCGCAGCATTTACGGCTAAAGGCTAATAGCGATAGTTTACTAGCTAGGAGTTATGTTTCGGTCGCGATCGAAGCGGCTCTTAGAGCGAACAACGGGAGCCTGCTTCTTATTGGGAGCGTGTTTTCTCTTTTTTCTCACTTTTCTCTTCATGCCGCATGTAGACCCGTAGTTTGACAGCAGCAGCGGCTAAAAAGAAACTTTCAGAAATCTGCGTGTGCATAGGATAAAAAAGTGCTATTTGGCTGCAGTTCAGCATAAAATGAATAAACCAGGACTAATCTTGGGCTCCAGTGCAGGAGAGAGATAGAAACCGAGTCCCGACACTCAGTTGGTTCAGTTTGGTTTAGTCTGGTTGCAACAAAACAATTCAAGAGTCGCTTGGGAGCCGAAAGAGACAGCTGCTTTAGTGAGCCGAGCCAAAAGAGCCAGTTCTCCAAAAAACAAAACAAAAACTGGAATACCCATCACTAGCAGCTAGAATGATGCAAAAATGACCATTAGGCAATCTACTGTATGTAAATATGATGTAAAGAGTCAAAATAACAATAAATGTTGCCTAAATAAACCAATTTAGAATCCACTAGAGCCAAACCTAAGTTTTTTAATCAATTCAAGATTTACAGTGAATTTTTACATCACTAAATATATCAGTGATTATATCGGCTATCGGCAGCCCCAACTCCATTATATCGTTTCATATCGCCAAACAAAATCCATATCGGTCGGGCTCTAGTTTAAAACACCTTTATAATTTATTCCTAGTGTCCTAATTCACCACAAAAAGTTAGAACCTCTTTTCACAACTTTAAGAGGCCAGCGGAAAGAGTCTTTTCCATCACGCTAATGCCGGTGAGCACAGCAGTCTCAGTTTGATCCTTTTACAAAATATCTGTACTGAGGCAGAGCAAATTCTGCCCAACTACAGGGAAGTAAATCCAGTAGAGCTACTTTAAGCCTGTTTTATTTGTTTGCTTGCTTGTTCAGGGTACATTTTGCTCTTGTGACAAATATGGAGCTCAACAGTGTCCGCCCACCACTTGGCTCTGGAAGTAAATTTCCCATTCATTTTTCCCATAGATCTTCAGCTTTATTTAAAATCTATTGTTGAAAGTTTTTACATATTAAATTTTAGATTTTGAAAGTATTTTTTGGGCTGAAAACAACCACTTTATTATTATTTGGTAAATAGCCGGTTAGATTTATGTCATGCTGTTGAGCTCCACAGCCCTGCACTATTGTCTGATCTCTGTTCTAATGTTGTTTCCTCATCACAAACAAACCTGGAGTTGTGTTTTGTTTCATTCACACATGTTTAACACATAAACCCAGCATATTTAGACTGAGTTCTTCTCTCAAACTGAAAACACTCTGTTCCACCTTGTGATGTCACATGGCAATACAGGAAGTGCTCCACTGTGTCTTTGAATAAAATTTTACTAGAAATCATTAGGATGATTTCAAGCCTGTATTCAAGAATGTGTGGCTTTGTCTACTTCCATCGTGACCACTTTGTTTACTGTTGTAGTAACACAAAAGGGACCCAGTCATGGCTTCACAGCTCTTCGCTGATTGGTCGGTGCACGGTCTACAACTTCCATGGTTCTTGCAAACCATCTAGTATATTCCAATTCCTGACCTAGCCGCTGGAGAGAAATGAAATTGAGTGGAAGCACTAGGTGTCTCCAGCCTGGCTAGAATGGCACGACTAGATGATTTCAACCCTGGAATTGCCAATCTCTGAAGTAAAGGAGCTGTTAATTTGCAAACTACCACTACATGACATCACAAGGTGGAACAGAGCATTTTGAGCTTTAGAGATGTAAACCAGTTAATAAGCTTCATGTATGAATGAAACAAAAACACTCCAGCTATGATTTGGATGAAGTAACAACATTCTAACATAGGCTTAAATCTCACAGTTTTGTGTTGTATAGGACCTTTAAGTAATAAGAAAGGAATTATGTATGTGTACGCCAAGAAGAAACAAAAAGTTCTTCATGCAAACGTGCAAAAAGTGTAAGCACACTTAACACTGAATTTGAGTGAAACTTCTTCTAAACTAGTTCAAAGCCCGGGCTGTTCAAGTGAATCTTAACTTTCCCCGTGATGGCCGATCATACTGTATAGTGACGGTTGTCTTCATCGAGATTGTATGCTCTGAGGTTTGATACACAGATCTGGTAATTATCGCGTGGACAACCATGAAATGCTTTGTTACGCCCCCAACTGCGGTCAGGCATCAGAGATTGAAAATGACAGCCTTGGCTTGTTCGGCTCTGCATGACAAATCAGTTTATTTTTTTAATTGCCATGGAGATAGAAGCTTTGTCTTGTTTGCTGCGGACCATGAGACTAAGGTACTAGTCCTGTTTATTAGTCAATTACTTATTATTTAAAGGGCTCATATTATGCTGTTTTCTGATCTATGTTAGAATGTTGTTTTCACATCAAAAACAGACCTGGAGTTGTGTTTTGTTTCATTCACTCATGTTCAACACTCAAACCCTGCAGATTTAAGACAAGTTCTTTTCACAGTCTATCCCCACCTTGTGATGTCATGTGGTAATACAGGAAGTGCTTCACTGTGTTTTTAAACTTCATACACCTTCACTTGAATCATTTGGATAATTTCAGAAATAGAATTGCCTATCTCTACTGATCAAAAGGTGAAGAAAGTAGTTGTTAACTTTGGAGATGTAGACAGACTAATAATACATGGTTACTCAAACCTGAGTGAAATGAAACAAAACACAACCAAAGGTATGTTTTTGATTATGAACATGTCTTAAAGCTCACAAGAGTCAATTATGCATAATAAATAAGATTATAAACATTCATAAGAGCCACAGAAGTGAAGAGATTGCACTGAGTTTGCATCTTTTTAGTAACTGGACAGTTTATAGATGCTGCACCTGATTTTGTTCTCTAGAATTGGATCACCTCAAAACATCTGGGATCTTTGAGAAGGACTGTCAGCTCATGATGGGCTTTTAAAGCTCTCAGGTCAGGAAGTTAATCCAAGTTCCAGTCAACTACAAAATGGTGTACTTCTGGGTACGAAGGGAGCATGCTTGTCCAATCTATTATTGATGTAACAATAACCGAAATATTGTGATATCATATTGTCAAAGTTCTCACAATAATATCATGGACCATCACAATATATCGAATTACAAGTCTCTTTGCTTAAATTAAGAGTTATGGTGCAGAAATAGCTGAAAAAAGACAGAGGGAACTACACAGACCACGATCCTTTGCTCCATGTCAGTGCAGATTACATGAAGAAATAACAGTTCTAAGCATTTTTAAGTCTTAGTTCTTTGGATTAAGTCTTGTCAAGGTATTTTAAGAGGAAAAAGTAGCATATTAACAGTTTTGTTAGCCTCCACAAAATATCGCAATAAATACAGTGAAATGTATATTGTAAAAATCGATTATGGATATTGTTGTATCCCTAATCGTGAGCCTCCCCACGATATTGTGAGCTTTCTTACGATATTGCAATAAATATCGTACCGTGAGGTTCATACTGTGACGATATCGTATCGTGAGACTTGGATATCGTTACACCCCTACAATCTACATACTAGGTTCTTCATCTCAATCAGCTATTCTGGTATAACTGAAAACATAAAGCACAAATCATTCATTTTGAGTGATATTATTTCTAGAGGTTAACTTTCGACAGTGTGTACCTATGAGGCACTATACTTTCAATACATCATTTTGTGTTGGTTTTCATTTTGGTTAGTAAAACTTTTCGCAAATGCCAAAGAACAAAAATTTAAATTCAGGGAACAACAAGAAGATTTAATCATAAAATGTTACCTGGTTAGAATTACTTAAAGGTGCATTGTGTAACTTTTCTGGTGCAGGGTCCGTCAAATGCTTTTCTCAGTGGAGATGCCTAGTATTGCTTTATC